TTCAGTTATATTAACGGATGTATAGCCACCTTAATGGTAAGACAGTGCGCTGGTAATCAAGAGGTCATGGGTTCGAACCTCAGCGCGCTGCCTTTTGCATTTTTTTCCATATTTTTTGACACCTTCCTGTTTTTACAGCGCTTGGGCCAGTAGTTTGGGCCAGACTCTTTTTTTTCTTACAATAATCCCTGTTTCACTTATCAACCTCCCTGATTTTTTTATTTTTTTAAACTTTTTTATCTTTTATTATTATTATTATTATTATTAATATTATTATTATTATTTTCATTAATAAAAAATCCAAAAAATATTTATATTTTATTATTTATATTTATTTAGTTTATTCTTCACAAAAACAAAAGAACAAAAATATTTCCTTTAAATAATTTAATTTCCCCTTTTTTTTAAATACTTAGATAATTTAATTTTAATTATTATTATGTTATTTTCTTATAAAATAAAATCAATTTAGAACTTAGGATCTTTTATTTAATTATTTTTATTTACTAATTTAATTAAATTCACAAAAACCCTAAGAACTTGTTTTTCTTTAATAAATTTATTTCTTTTATTTAACTTAATCTTAATTTTCTTTTTAGTTAATTATTTTTATTAAGTCAAAAACCCTTTTCATGAAAACCCAAACAAAAATCACATTTCTTTTTACATTTACATTCTTGTATTTTTATTTATTCAATTTTGTACATTTATTCAATATTCAATATGATTGTAATAATTATTTAGATTTAATTTTCTCGCAATTCCCTATTTGTAATTTGTACACCCCTCCCTTAATGATGTAATAGCGTAGTAATTTTAATTTTCGCAATTTAATGCTTTATATACAAATGCTAGTAATTAGGGTTTTGTATGGAAAGATTAAAACCAACAAATAGCAAACCCTAATCAAAGACAAATCAAGCATGTAAATCAATACACTTGCACACTTACACCCTTAGGGTAAACCCATTTTGTTGCCTTACAAAATGGCCATATTATGCATGTGAGGTATCTTAGTAAAAACAAGCAAATACAAGATCATAGTCCCTCGATGACGCTATCCATGTTGTCTTTCAAAATGATCTTAGTCCCTAAAGAAAATACTAAGATATCTTGCAACATTGCTAATCATGGTTATACGATGAACCACGCTCGTCCCTTTTACATCCAAAGATAAGGTTACTTACCAAATCAATGATAAGATAACAATGTCAAAGGAAAGAGGAAATGAACATGAAAGACTTTTGAGTAGGTAGAATGTTCCTAGTTACTTGCTCAATTTCAAAACCAAAACATCCTTGCTATTTTGAAAACAAACACCAACACTTTCAAAAACATCTTTCAACTTGAAAACATTTTCAAAAGATCAACACTTCGTATACATTCTTACGAACGAGAATCATTACAAAGTTTGCCTAAACGATAACACCTTTTCAAAATACTTTCAACAAATCACACAAAGCATATTTTCAAACAAAATCAAGTGATCTAGCAAGTAACTAAGAGCCCATGGAAAACCATGGATAAAAAGGGTGCTAATACCTTCCCTTTTTATAATCTACTCGCCGAACTCAAGAAACAATCTCAAAGGTCTTTCTTGTGCTTTTTCACCTTTCCTTTTGGATAAAAGAAAAGTCGGTGGTAACTCTTGCTAACCGCAACATTTGCAATCAAACGCAAAACAACCAAGTCAGTTCTCCCACCATATCACAGTTGGAAATGAAAGATCCAAGCTTAAGGATGACTTACCTTGCTTGAAGCTGGAACGTGTGTTGGACCTTGAAGTGGTTTCCTTGAATGCTGCTGGATTCGAAGGAAGGGACCAGAGGCAATGTTTCTACTGTTTGATTCAAAGGAGAAAAACAAAGGAGATATCTTTTCTATTGGGTTCGAAAGGGAATAAAATGTATGGGACTTTTCAGAATCGAAAGAGATAAATGTTAGATTCTGGTTTTTTTTGCTTTCACAAGTGTTTGAGAGCTTCATTGTGTTTGAGAAAATTTTAGAGATTTGTTCCTCTGGCCAAAAAGTCCTCCCCTTTCTTTGCTAATGTTTCTCTATTTATAGAGAAAAAGTTGAAGGTGTTTTTGAAATAACCAGGTTTGTATGATGACAAACCATGGTTTGGTTAAGGGTGAAACAAGTCAGTCGTTTTTCGTTGTTCCCACATTTCCAGTACAAGTGGGGGCCTGCTGGTAGAAGATTGGACTTATGCTTCTGGCATTGCTTGTGTTCAGACAAAAGATCAGGTTGGAAGTTATTTTGTGACAAAAGTACTCTCTTTGTACAAGCTTCTGATTATGTAAAGATTTGGAAGCAAAGTAGCCTGACAAGTAGGGTAAGGCTATGAGATTTGCTTAAACTTGCTTCGAAGGATCCAGAGTTGGGTTCGAAAGATGCTGATTTGAAGGAAACCAAAACTCCAATCGAAGCTTTGTGTGAAGGTGGCTCTTGTCCAATCAAAGACTTGCCTGTCAGGGGTCACATGTGGACAAACGAAAGAGTGTACATAGGGGGTCCCTGTCTTGTGACTTCATGCCAACATGCAAAATATCTATGTTCAAACGAAGCTTGCATGAAGGGAACCAACATGCCCAAACAAAAGGTGTGACCAGTAGCTTGTACTGAAAGATTCATGTGCTCAAACGAAACAAACATGAAGGGAGTCAAATACCCAAACGAAAGGTTTGACCAAAATCTTGTGCTGAAGGATTCATGTGCCCAAACGAAGGGCGTGACCAGTATCTTGTACTGAAGGAACCACATGCCCAAACGAAAGGTGTGACCAGTAGCTTGTACTGGAAGATTCATGTGCCCAAACGAAGAAAACATGAAGGGAGTCAAATACCCAAACGAAAGGTTTGACCAAAACCTTGTGCTGAAGGATTCATGTGCCCAAACAAAGAGTGTGACCAGTAGCTTGTACTGAAGGAACCATATTCCCAAACGAAAGGTGCATGTAGGAGGCCAAAATGTCCAGATTCGAAAGAGGCATATAGGAGGAAAAAAGTGCAAATCGAAGGATGCTAAAAGGGAGCCTTTTCCCTTGGAATCGAAAGAGACTACAAGAGGCTTTATGCCTTGTGAATCTAAACCAATGTGCCAAAGGCCCACGCCTAGTCGAAGGATGCAAGCCAAGCTTGCATCGAAAGAGGCCAAAAGGCCAATCGAAGGAGCTGAATCGAAGAACACTTGTTTTTCTTCAAATTTGTCAAAATATTATTTTTATCTGTTTTCTCCCTTTTTGACAGTTTCCTTTTAATCTTTGTACTGAAAAATTCCAATGTACTTGTGCAAGCTTGAACCTTGAGAATCCTTGTGAGAAATGCCTTGAAAAATGAGAGGGAAAATTTTGGGGTACAACAGTGATGATCCAGGATCTTTTGAGCACCATCCAGTCAGTGTCATTCTGGTTAATGGTTTTTGGGATTTCTCCAGGTCGTCTACCCATATCCCCCTCTCTATCCAGGTGCGAATTCTCAACTATCACATCCCTTTTGATCTCTGTCTAGACAAGAGATGTTGGAATAATTATGCTGATGGGGATTTAACTTTAAAGATTGCTTATGACTTCAAACGACATAGGGGCAGTAAGGATGCTAAATGGAGTTTGATCTGGAACAAGTTGATTCCTCCATCAAAGTCTTTTTTGGTGTGAAGGCTTTTTCACCATAAGATGCCAACAAATGATCATTGGAAGAACATGAGTTTTGTCTTCCCTTCTCGTTGTTCTCTTTGTGGGCGTTCGGAGAAAACAAAAACTCATCTTTTTTCTACTGTGATCATGCACACAAACTTTGGTGTTGGCTGAAAAATATGTTGAACATTTCGTCCTCTTTTCTCGGTTGACAAGTTTTCTGGAAAATTCACGACTCAGACGAGGCTGCCCAATATCAGGTGATTTCTAAAGCTGCTTGTGTTTTACATTCTGAACTCGATTTGGAATGCTCAGAACATGGTTAGATTTAAGGATTCTTTTATTACTACATCTTCTTCTATATCTTCGATTACGACAGTAATTCATACTGTTGGAAATGTTGTTGGTGTTGGTTCTTTTTGAGCATGTCAGAGTTTGAAATTCTTAAAAGATTTAAGGTGTCTATTCGGCCCCCGAGGACCCCAAATATTTTGGAAGTTTTGTGGCAGCCCCCACCTAGAGAGTGTATTAAGTTGAATTGTGATGGAGCCTCTACCTCCGGTATTGCGGCTTGTGGGGGGTTGGCAAGAGACAATGGTGGTTGGTTTTTGGGAGCTTCTGCTTCCCCTTTAGGTGAAACTAATTCTCTCATTGTCGAACTTTCGGGTGCTATGCAAGCAATTGAGTTCGCTCATGAGAAGAACTGGAGTAATGTTTGGTTAGAAACTGACTCGAAGGCGATGGTTCTTGTATTCAAACCTCTGTACAGGGTTCCTTGATTGATTAACAATAGATAGATTAATGTATAAATTTAGTCTCACAGTCGAATTTTGTAGTTTCACACATATTTAGAAAAGAAAATAATTGTGCAGATACTCTAGCTAACATATATTTACATTTGACAAATTCTACTCGTTTTTCCTCTCTGCCTAATCTTTTAATGGCAAATTTTATAAAAAATAGATTAAGTATGTCTTTCTTTAAGTTCACTTTAGGTTGAGAGAGTTTTGGCCTAGTCTCTTTTTTTTTTGTGCTCCGCTCTTTGATAACCTTATTTAAAAATTTAAAAAAAAAAAAACTCAAAGGAAAAAAGAAAACAAATTGAAAATAAAAAGCAGAATGTCACAAATGACGAAGCGAAAATAACAATGCAATATGCAGTAAAGCAAAGTGAAGTTAACAAGTAAGCAACGTTTTCTCGTTTCTCCCATTCATCATTCATTCCCCAAAGATCGAAACATAACCGTAAGCAACGTTCTCTCTGCATCTTCAAAAACCGTTCTCGTGTTCGTAATTAGGGTTTTTCATTCATAGTTTCAATTTTTCAATTAGGGTTTTTGATTTCAAACACAATCCATAAACGATGAACAACAACAACAATCCACCCAATAATACAGCGGCGCCACCGTCGTTTTTGAGCAATTCATCAATTCCTGTAAACCCACAACCAATTCATCTTCTCTCTCATTCTCAGCCCCAAATGCAAGGTGCTTCATCTTCTCCCTTCCCCGGTCATTTTCAGCTATCACAACCTCAAAACCACGTAATGGCACAACAGCAACAACAACAACAACCGCAATTTGCAAACCCTCGCGCTCACCCTCAAACCCAACAACAACAACAACAATATCAACAGCAACAACAGTATCAACCACAAAAGCCTTTTAACCAAATGAATAATAACACCAACACTAATGTGACTTCTCCTGCACCTGCTGCGAAGCGTTCGCATCATAAGCAGAGTTCGCGCCCACAAGGTTCGCCGAGTGGTAATCAAACCTCTGCCTTTAAAACTATGGAGTTAACTCCTGCTCCTATGAGGAAAAAGAGGAATTTACCTGATAATTTGATACCTGAAAAGGTGGCTAAGCTTGTTCCTGAGTCTGCTCTTTATACTCGGCTACTTGAACTCGAGGCTCAGATAGATGCGGCTTTGAATAGGAAAAAGATTGATGTGCAGGAGGCTGTTAAAACTCCTCTTTCGTTTAGGAAAACTCTTCGCGTTTATGTGTATAATACGTTTTCGAATCAGACCAAATTGGATGGTGATGTTGAGGACCCGTCTTGGTCGCTCAGGATAACTGGGAGGATATTGGAAGAAGACGGTAAGGATCCTGTGGTGGCAGGGATTTCGAAAAGGGAAAAGCATTTGTACCCGAAGTTTTCGGCTTTCTTTAAGAAAGTTACGGTGTACTTGGATCAGGGGTTCTACCCGGATAGTCATGTCATTGTATGGGATAGTGCTCGCTCGTCTGCACAACAGGATGGTTTTGAGGTGAAGAGAAAAGGAGACAAAGAGTTCACTGCGGTTATTAGGTTAAGAGTGAATTACTCGCCCGAGAAGTTTATGGTTTCGGCACCGTTGTCTAAAGTTTTAGGGATTGAGTTTGATACCCGCCCTAGGATAATGGCTGCTCTTTGGAACTATGTGAAGTTCAGGAAACTGCAGAGTCCAAATGACCCTTCATTTTTCATGTGTGATGCTTCTCTCCAGAAAGTGTTTGGGGAAGAAAAAATGAAATTCTCCATGGCTTCACAGAAGATATCACAGCATTTGTCACAACCACAGCCTATACACCTGGAGCATAAAATCAAACTTTCTGGAAACTGTCCAGCCGGAACTGCATGTTATGATGTGCAAGTTGATGTGCCTCTTCCACTAGAGAAAGATATGTCTGCATTCTTAACAAGTATGGAGAAGCACAAAGAGATTGATGCTTTTGATGAAGTGATATGCGCTTCCGTAAAGAAGATCCATGATCATCTTAAGAGACGAGCTTTCCTTCTTGGTTTTAGTCAGTCTCCTGGAGAGTTTATTAACGCATTGATAGCTTCTCAGAGCAAGGATCTAAAGCTGGTTGCTGGAGATGCCAGTCATAATGCCGAAAATGAACAACGTTCTGAATTCTACAATCAACCATGGTAAGCATTATGCGACTTTGCCTAATTTGATTTGTGTTCTGACTAAGAAGCATGCATGAATGGTATTTAATTTACATCTTGGTTCGCTGTGACATTAATGTTTGTGTTTATTTGCTATATTGAGCATTGAAAAGAGAGGCATGCCTTAAATTAAGTACTTCACGGAAGCAGCTGTGTCTGTGTTGGGCATTAATTGTAGAGAATAGTTTTAGAAATGATGCGACACTTTTAATTACTCTGTATTTCACACTGCTTTGCTGCATCCGTGTTTGCTATGTGTTCTTAGATGGCATCCAATAGTAAATGGACAGGGCTCCTCCAAAGTGATCAAATAAGGGTGAATACTGGGGCTCTTCATTTTTTCAGAGCACATTGTTATCTGAATCACTAAATTTAACAGTACATACATCCTTAGTTACTGATTTTAAAGACAAACTCGGGAGTTTTTTTTATAAAACCATATATCATGGCTTCTGCAGTTTTATTTGCGCTCTGAAGTTGTTGAAACATTATTCAGATTTCAGACAGCAAAGTCTTTTAAATCTGATTTGGGGAAAAAAACAGTAAGGGATTTCATCTAGATTGTATATAGGAATGAAGGTTTAGGACCTCAATTGTTTGTGCTTTTCTAATGAAAACATATTTTTTGTTTATATACAAAACATATTTAATAAAACTGATATAATTAATTCATCATTGCTTGCTTGTTGTAGATATGCCGTTACCAAATTTATCTGTTGAAAGACTCATTTTAAAGAACTTCTTCCCTGTTGTATCGCCATTTTATGCCTTCTACTGAGTTTTATTTGTGCTCTGAAGTTGATTATTCAAAGACTGCTATAAATTGTATGTCTAAGGAGTTCTGTGTATGCTCTTATATTGTTTGTTATAGGAATGGAGATTTAGCTAGAATCAATTTGACATAATCAATTAACTTAAAAATTAAGATTAATTTTCATTCCCGCAAAACCATTAACTTGCTAAAATGCCATGTATTTTTTTGTTCATGTATATCAATAGGTGTTCCTTCCTAATTGGTTTGTGTTCTTTATCAATATTTTCAGGGTTGAGGATGCTGTGATTCGCTATCTGAACCGGAAAATTGCTCGAACTGATGCTCCTTAAAGCATTTGATGGAAAATTGTGAGACGGGAAGGTGGTTAATTTTTTGGACATCAATCAGCCTTGTTCCAGCCTCGCTAAATTTTATATTCCATCCTTCATTTTTAGAATCGAGTATGTTGACACAAGATTGTGATTACTCATGCTTATTTCTGAGCCCTCTAACCATATTTGGATCCATTGATTCTCATCTACTGTTATCTGATATCCTATTCTCCAATGGTAAATAGTAATAGTTAGCAAACTTATGGGTTAGAAGTATACCATTTCCCTTTTGTCAGGTACGTAGAATATTTCACGTGGCTACAACTAGAAGTAAACATTGTTCAAACTAAAATTTATATACCAAGTATTAGAACAACATTAGCATGCCAATTAAATAAAGAAACAACACTCGTTTTATCGTTTTCCTACAAAATCGACATGTTATAAGGAACAGAGGGGGTCTGTAAAATTAATTAATCATTTTCTCCGGGCTGTCATATCATACGAGTTTTGGGGGTTGCTCTTCTCACCCTTAATGATGAAGAGTTACTTTTATGAAAACCAAAAATGCCTCTTGAAAAACATAGGAACGACAACAAGTTGAATTTCTAAGACTTTTTGAGCAACAGTGAGGGAAACATGCCTCAGGGAAGTAGATGCTTATGCATCAAATGAAGTGGCACCAACGGTGGTGTATGCTGGGTCACTATCAGGTTTCAATTTTTATTGTCTGTCAGATTATTTTACGTTTAGTTAAGTTAGAAAAATCATATTATAATCAAATAAAACTTCATTCTACGTTTAGTTAAGTTAGAAAAATCATATTATAATCAAGTTAGAAAAATCATATTATAATTGAACAAGTCAACTTCATTTTACGTTTAGTTAAGTTAGAAAAATCATATTATAATCAAATAAGTCAACTTCAGGAGACAACAAATAAAATCAAACAAATTATGCATATCATCAAAATTTGAAAGTTAACTTCTGCATCAAATTTGGAAGTTAACTTTTGTACTAGACGAAACTAGAAAAACAGAGAATTGATTGCATTTTGAGTGTGGCAGAGTTTTAAGTTTCTGATTTGAAGAGTATTATTGTTTTTTCATTACGCTTTTCATGCAGCAAATAAGAGTGTTACAAAATGCCGTGCTAATGCCATTGAAACTAGGGGTGGACAATGGATGGATTTGGACCCAAAATATCAACCGGATCCAATCCAAGGATGGTACATATAAACTCATTTCTACCCTTTTTTAAGGGTTGTGTTGATGTTTACTACACCCCAAAGTAGTGAACATGCATCGCGTGGAAATTTGAAAATGTCTTTTGTGTTCTTCGAAGATTTAAATCAGGACGTACCTATTTTACAACAAAATCATTTTATTAAAGAGGCACTCATATTTTTGTCAAAAATATGTTTGGATTTCAATCTTCAGATCCATTTTATTAAAATTTGGATTTTAATCTTCGGATAAATCCTAACAATTGGATGAGTCTGGATATCAAAATTCAGGCAAACGCTTCACAAATTTTCCACTTATTAATGTGTTTTTATTTCATAACACACGGGCAAGTCAAGATATTAAATGAACCTTACATTATTCAAGTAGTTTCTCAATCTCCGGTTAGATCATTGAACTTTTGGCTTACGGCTCGTATACGTTTTAAAATAAATTTTCGTATACGTTTTAAAATAAATTTTATATTATAAGTCATTTATAAATCAATCCAATAATAAATCTTACTTATTTGTCATTCAATGTTAAAATCAAATATTCAAATAAAATGTTGGTAAATCATACATCATGTTCATAAAATACAATGAACCATACTACAAAATTCAAAAAGTTAATATCAACATACAAAGTTAACGACAACTATTGTGTACATTTGATGATCTTGTTCCTCCTTTTTCTTTTTTACTGCAACACATGTCGTGCCTCTGTTAACATGGTTTGTAAAGTGACCCTCTTAGAAATACCTTCCTAAAATTCACCCCTAGTTATGACCTCTTTCCCGATAGCCATAATATGATGACATATCAGCAATACATTATCGACATGGTCCACCTTGTCTGCTCATTTTCTAGTATCTTCTGTTGAGTTGGCCTCGAAAGATCTCCTTATGCATATAATGTTATATAAGAATGTGATACTCTATAAAACCATTAGATGTAACTTCATATCATACTCCATGGGTGAGAATCTCACACACGACATATATCCTCTAAAACCAGACGCTCATAGTACTATGCAAATATCCTATCAACATCTCTGCGGAGTACGATGACAAGAGCAACAACTGTGGGGTTTCTGGGTAATATCCTGCAAATACCTGAATTGTCTAAATATATGCTCAGGTAGATGTAGGTACATAAGTCGAGACCCCAAGGTCATCCATCCAAAGTATATGGATATCACCTCTAAGGGTCATGTCTCACGGTACTCATTGTACGTTATGAAACATATATCAATTGTTACGATACTGTCAAGAGAATCTCAAAACGACTCAGTCGCCTGATTCCTCATAAGTGGAATGATCGAGTAGGCACAAGGAAAATCTTTAGAGTATTATTTAACCTACGCCAAGTGAAGCTGGAGCACTTTTAATCACTCACCATATATAAACACGTCACGCGCCATAACAAAGTATTCAACCATTCTTACTCTTGTAAGTTACACCACTTTGACCATAATGACTTGTTTGTTGAAGTTCTAACCTTGTAGGTGTACCTTGTTTCATAGCACTAGAGGCTCGCATCACCACATCAAAGAATCATCCTGACATTGTACCATCGATTTCTCGTCCAACTACGATACTATTGTGTTGTCTACAGAAATCAACTTTTAATTCTCACGAACTCCCATACCAAATTCATAAAATCCCTAACATGAAATTATTCCAGCGCATATCTCGTTCGTCTAAAATGAAAGCCTTAAATTCCATCATCGAAATCACTATCCCAATTTCGACCTCATGCTGCTAACAAACCTTGTCGTTTCCGCAGTCACCAGAAGGTCATCCAAAAAGAAGGAACCAGGTAGAGGATTTACAAAGATGTCTCGAGGGTTGTAGATGAATGAAGAAGATTCGGAAAAAAAAAAGATCAATCCTAGGGTTATGATTGGTAAAATAACAAGTGTACTATTTTGCCTCTAGTAATAACAAGGAAAGTTTCCCGAATGTCGATCTCAAGGACTGCATATAAATATTGAGTTCAAATTATTGTTCAATTAAACAAAAACCAGCGTTTTGGTTTGAATTGAGAGCTGATAATAATAACTGCAAATAAAGTAAGAAAATTGACTAAGTGGTTTTAACAAATATGGGTAACATGCTAGGGTAGGTGTGTGAATTATGCCTGTAACAATTCTAAATTAATATTGCAACAAATTATTTTACATAATCAATTACCGGTTCTTAAGAGCGTTTACTCCTAAGTCCTTAGAGAGGAAACCTTCAATCATTCATCCTAAGCCCTATGTCCAACGAAACTTACTGATGAAATTAAGCATTTTTATTATCAAGAACACTCTGGTTGTTATAGGGTTTTCCTAGTCCTAGGTGATATTTACTATAGCATAATCTCACAAAAGCATTAACAATGGCGGTCAAACCTAATTGTTAATCATAAATCAAACTGTGTTTGTCCGACAGAGAAGGCACTAGAAACAATGTGAGATTAAATATATTATGAAAACAAACATTGTTATTGCAATTATAAAATCAAAGTTATTACAAATGAAAATCAGGGACACCCTCTAGCATTAGGGGGTTTAGCTACTCATATTGTTCAAAGAAAGCAAAAGATAAATTGTAGACATTACAAGTATTGGGGAGAAAATTGATCTTCAATCATTTTCATTCATGAAAATCTTCTTCCACCGAAACCCTTGTCTTCTCCAATCTTTTCTTGTATAATTCTTCGCTTGCCAAAAAGTCCCTTAATTCCTCTTCAAAACTCATCTAAATAACAAACATTCACTCAGATGATTAGAAATACCCAATATGCCCCCACAACTCAACCCATGGATAAAATATATAATAAAAAAAATAGGAAATCAGCGTCACATGCTACTATGGGCCGTGTCATCCAACACGGGTGGCCCTAGCAGCCTTTTGTACTTTCAAAGTTATGTTTTTGGTCTCAGGCCTTCTGGCACCGGCAATGTCAGTTGACACAGGCGCCCATGTCAGACCTATGATTTATGTTTTAAATTGCTGCTTTCCTGACACGGCCAATGTCAACTGACACGGGCAGCCGTGTCAGACCTCTTGGAGTATGCAGGAAACTTTTTTGAATTCTTGCGATTTTTCCTGGTTTTCGCTCTGATTCTTCTTAAATGCTTATCTGAATCTAAAAACATTAAAGAGACACAACCAAAGAATAAAATGAGGAAAAGGGAAATAAAGCGCATAAAAACAATGACACAATTAACTAGAACTATCGATAAATAAAGGTGTAAAAACCACTGCTCAAACTCCCCTAAACTTAGACTGTTGCTTGACCTTAAGCAACAAAGAAAAGAACTCGTGAAATGAAAAGTATACTGATACTTATACGCGAGACTTCTAATCACATTGGTTAAGAGGTAGTTTGTCCAGTATTCACATGACGCGAAGAGTTTTTGCGAGAACATTTTAAACCTGAGCTTCTCTTTCGGATACCTCTCCAACTATGCTTTGTACTTAAGTCTTTTTACGATTGTCCTTCTTTTTCATTTGGACACTCAAATTAAGGCAATTAGAATCATGATGATCATCACATGCACAAGACTAATCAAGAATTTTTTGTTTAGGCACCAAATAAGCCGCACTTGCCACTTTTAAAAATCGATGAAATTTTCAAAACTTTGTTGTTTATATATTGTCCTTGTTTGGAGGATGTTTGGGGATCAACCTCCTTTGGGCTGAATAACCGGGTGAAGGTTATCCAACTTAGCGGTCTAGTTGCCTTTTACCGCCTTTTCATCATCTGATGCCAAAATTATTTATTTCCCAACCACTCATACATG